ACACTCTAGCAGAGGGAACTACCCTTGTGAGAGCATGGAGGACTGAAATGGAATGGTGGACTTGGAAAACTGCAAAAAGAGGCCACTTTGTGGAAGGTCTTGTAGGGTAAGCTGAGGAAAAAGCTCTTCTCTAAGCAGTGAGAATCTGTCACAGGATTGCATTCAGTGAAGGGGCACAGTTATATGTATTGGGGATTGTCTACTTACAACCCCAATTCCTTAGATTATCCTACTACCCTAAAGAATACACATTATCTGAAGCTTGGTTTGAAAAACACATTGACTTAAGTTATTTTTCTCAGTGGCCAAAAATCTGTCTGGTCTGCAGGGCTCTTCGACAGGTGAAAGTCAAAACAGGGAAGCTGTCTCTAAGATCTCCTACCGAGGTGACGTGAGCGACCTAAGTCTTCCTTTCCTTTCCGGCTATGACCTCTTTCAGTAATTCACATCAAAGACTCCAGTGATATCACAGATTACCAATGTTTTTAGTCAAGCCAAGTTAGTGTTGCCCAGTAGGACTGAAGTAGTTCCTCTCTCTATAAATGTACTATTTCATATTAATACATTCCTTTTTTTAAGCTGATGCTTTCTTCCTTTCTTGTTTGTTCATTTCATTCCCTATATTGGAGATGGTTCATGTGCCCTCCTCAATCACTTCTATTCTTGCATAGTCCTTAGGATGTAGAGCTGGGTAAATAAAAGTAGGATCTCTACTTAAGACAACTTCTCTGGTACCCCTGACCTTACCTCATTATCATCATTTTTTTTTTAAAGATTTATTTAGTTATACATAGAAGAACTGGGGTACAGACCAGAGATGCAGGGGAGGGGGATGAGAGGATTCACGAGAGACAGAGTGGGGAACAGAACAGGCAGACCTACCAAAATACACTGCTGAGGAGAGCAGCGGGTGAGCCAGGAGAGGGCTGTTGCGCCACGTGGGTAGCTCCCTGGTCAGCTGGAATTGAACTCGTACTGCAGAGGCTGCGGATACCTTCATAGTGCTGTGCTTAACCCCTTGCACCACCAGGGAGGCCCCCCATCATCATCATTGTTAAGAATGAACCTCTTGCCTTTAAAACCTACATCCCTTTCCCGTCTCCTAGGCTTTTATTACCCAGCACTTTATTAAGCCATCCTAAGAGGTAATGTTGCTTCCACTTCATAGGTGGGGAAACTGAAGCTCAGAGAGGTGCAGTAGATGCCCAAGATGACCCAGTAATCAGGGTCAGACCAGGAGCTTGATCTAAGGTTTCTGACTTCAAGCACAAGAGCTTTTTACAATAACTCCCAGCCTTTGCTAATAATTTAAGGTAAACTTATCTCATCTCCCTAAGACTTGGCACCCGAGCTTACAAATAGGGGTAGCCATTTGTGTCTCCAATCCCTGTCCTTTGGGCAGGCCACAGGAATGCAGAGGCATGGCATTTCATCTTGATGCTCCAGACAGATGGAAATTGAAAATTAAGTCAATGAGAAGCAGCATCAGCTATGTCTGTCCACTTAGCGTGAGGCCATCTGCCTTGGGCACTTGGAATTGAGCTCATTTCTTCCAAAAGGGAGAGAAAGTATCTGGCAAATGAAAGCTCAGCCAGAGAAGATGGACTTGGCAGTGCCTCTCCACCCACATCGAGCCTCTTCGCTGGGTAGAACAGATTTCTAAGTATGTCACTGTGTTAAAAGGAGCAAATCTGCAGTGAGGAGTTCCCTTGTGTCGGGGGAAGACAGGGTGAGGGGGGACCAGACTTGCTAATGCGATCCCATGGTAAGCCAGTCAACACTGGCGTCTCAGCTCACTTTCCTTCACCCTGAGCCCCAGTCTAAAGAAACTTTTCAAAGTGTGCAGAGTCTAAACTATATTTGCGCAAAATATAGTTTACATGCTGTACATCAAGGTGCTGAATTTTAGTCATTCATTCAACAACTGTTTGTTGCACATCTAATAGGTTTTCACCCTCCCAGTGGGATGTATTATTATCAGTGCCACCTAGCTAATACATAGAGGGCAGATGGCAGGGTGATCATTTGACCTCAGTATTAACTTCAAACTCTTTTCACTACAGCCTGCTCAGATCTTAGCACTGAGCATAGAAGAATCATGCAAACTGATGTAATGAAAACAGGAAGGCAGGTTTTGTTTTATTGTTTTGTCGTTGCTGTCTTTGTTTTTCCTGGCCCCACATTTGTATTCCATCCCTCACCCGCTCTCTTCAGTGTTTGGGCCATGGAAGTAGAGAGGGAGCTAGAATTCCCCAGATGAAAACTGGCAGATGTAGCTGAAGGGCCTCCGGGACTCTCCTAGCAAGAGAAACTGAATAGTGAATTCCAAGGATGTTATTCAAAAGAGGGACACAGAAGAATCTTGGGGGAGAAACGGGCCATCTTCTCTCTGCCTCCTTCTGTGTCCTCTCTCTTGGTGTCCTTCTCTTCTTTAGCTCTGTCTCCTTTCTTTTAACTATCTCTGCCTATATATCTTTTATCTACCTATCCACCTACCTGTGACTACCCTTACTGCTCCTCCATTTCCAAGGTTCTGCTGATCCCAGGTATACAAATATATCGACATCTTCAGTATAATCAGGAAGAAATTAGACTTCATGAGAACGCAACCCTTGCCCCCATTCCTGCCACCCTGAGGTCTCTTTGCTGAGGAAATGAATTAAGTCATCTCAGCTAACAGTCTTACATGGTCTTAGCCTTCTTGTCTTTGTGTTGAAGGAGAAAGGTGGTACCAGGAGTCAGGTGACCCCATGATCTTACTCTCAAGAGGATGGGCTTTCCTCATTTTGTAGAGGCAGTGTGTAGGGGAAGATCTCTCTTCTAGCTATAAAAAGGCCAGGTCCCCTCTCTTCTGTTAATTCCCTATGTGACCTGGAAGGAGACACCGTACTCCACACAGCTCTTAGGTTTCCATTAGATAAAGTAGGTGAAGAGGCTGGCATAGTTAGCATCATCTCATGAAATCACCACACTATCACCTGATACATATTCTTTGTATTCTTTTTGAATGAGAACATGCGGTTTAGCAAGGTAAGTTTCTTTATATTCTGTACAACTTACCTATGACAGCGTTAGGATGCGAACCTAAGTTTACCTGATGTCAAAACCTGTGCTCTTTGCAATTGCCTTTTTTGAGTTTCTAAAACCAGAGTATGGATTTGTGACCAGTCACTCTTGGATTGAGTCTGTTTTATTATATGTATGTTAGCCACCTTCACCTAGAGGTTGGCGCTACTGGGAAGTGCTGAGTCTATCGTCTTTCCATGCTTAGGCAGACTGCCGGTGACTGGAGTCTTCTGCTGGTTCAAACAGACTCTTAAATAATTGAATTATAATGATTTGATTTATTCTGGCTCTTTTGATAGTATTTCACTATATAAACTGTGTGCAGAAATAAACAAGGGATTTTGGAGCTTGGAAGGGGCTCAACTTTTTGCTGCCCCCTAAATTCAATGACTCCTGCAGCATCGAAGGAATCCAAGTCTTATTTCTACTTGACCGAGCCGCAATCTGTTTAAGGGAATGTTGCTTGAATGTGTTTCAAGCTAGTACTGATTTCACTAGCTGATTCATTTCAGCCACTTAGGAATAAATTGACCCCTTAAAGAAGACTATTTTTTCTCTTGAGCACTATCTTGGATGTACAAAGCATGCTTATGTCCTTTCCCTAGCACAGCGCTATGGCTTCCCTGAGAGGCTGTCCTGACTGGGATAGTTGATTCTGTATCAACTATCCAGAGGCTAAAAAGATGGGAAACCACAGGCTAAAAAGGCTAAAAAGCAAAGCCAGTTGTGGGAAGTTACCTAGCTAATGTAAAGGACAGAAGTCAGATCCTGGTCTTTGGCCCTAAATTCAGCACCCCTGAAGAGTCCCCCTCTGCTATTCTGAAGTGAATTCGGGAAGAATACTCTAGATCTGGTTGACTTCATGTTTTGATTTGTCTAGAGATTCAAATTTTCACAAGATACGTAAATATTACTGGGCATAATTTTTATTTTATTTTAAATTTGTCAATAGTTTACACATTTATATAACTTTGGGAGTACATTTTCATACTTCCTTGTGTGCACATGCTTCACTCACTGTCCACCAAACCTCCCATGGCAGTGCCCTCCCCTCTCTCTCCCCTGTTCCCTCTGATTACTAGAACACTTTTCACTAAGCATAAGATTTGTGTGTGTGTGTGCGCGTGGTGTGTCTGTCTTGTGTCTGTGTGTGTGTGTTTAAAAAACCACATAACACGAGATTTACCATCTTAACAAATTCTTAAGTGTACATGCAGTAGTATTAATTAGAGGTCACTGTCGTACAGCAGATCTCTAGAACTTACTTTGTAATAGAAATAAAACTTTTTTTTTTAGATTTATGTTATTTATACAAGAACCAGGGTACAGGCCAGATGCAAGGGAGGGTGAGAGGATTCACCAGAGACAGAGCGGGGAACAGAACAGGCAGACTGAATGAAATACACTGCTGGGGGGAGCAGCGGGCGAGATAGGAGAGGTCTGCTCACCACGTGGGTTGCTCTGAGGCTGGCAGGGATCGAATGGGCACTGCAGAGGCTGTGGACAGCTTCACAGCGCTGCGCTTAACTGCCTGTGCCACCAGGGAGGTCCAGAAATAAAACTTTTTACCCACTAACAGCGTCTTTCAAATCTCAACCATTTCCCCATCTCCCCAGCCTCTGACAACCACCATTTTCCTTTTTCCTTCTGAGTTTGACTGCTTTATGTTCATCACATCAGTGGTATCATACATTACTTGTCCTTCTGTGACTTATTTCCTTCGGTATCATGACCTCCAGATCCATCCATGTTGTTGTAGATGGCAGCACGTAAAAGTTCCTTTTAAAGGGTGAATAATATTCCTTTGTGCCTGTGAATGATGGACAGGATGGCCATGATGGTTCTGCTGGCCTGCTACCACAGCTGTTGATGGTCGATGAGCCCAAAGGACAAATACCTACCTGTTCTCTCCCTTCTGTGTCTATCTCTGCCAGATGAGCCCAGCCGGTGCTATTTCCATGATGGTGACGGGGTGTGTGAGGAGTTTGAGCAAAAGACGAGCATTAAGGACTGTGGTGTCTACACACCCCACGGCTTCCTGGACCAGTGGGCATCCAATGCATCAGTGTCTCATCAGGACCAGCAGTGTCCTGGCTGGGTCGTCATCGGCCAGCCAGCTGCATCCCAGGTAAGCACCCGCTGTGTACGACATTTCCTCCGGCCCGCCCGCCTCCCAGGCCTGGATATGGACGTTGACCACACCTTTGGCTGAACAGAATTCCAGGGCCCTGTAAGAGTCATCTATACATTAGACACAAAGGTGGTCAAGAGTAGTCGGGGTAATGTAGTTCCCCTTCTTCGTCACCTGTGATAATTCAGACTTGGGAAAAGAACTCCACTTCATGTATACCACTGAAATTCAGTGGGGGCAGGGACAGATTCTTTGGGGGAGTTCCACTTTTGGGTTGTGTAGGTACCAAGTCTTCTGCTCCCTGAGCACTCTCTTGTGAGCTCATGATTCTGCCATAAATTTGCTGTGTGGCCTTAGACTCATTTAACCACTTCTCTGTGCCTCATTTTTCCTATCTTTAGTTTAAACAGTAGAGCTTGATGATCTCCAAGGACCTTCCCAACTCTAAAAAGCTATGACTCATCCCCCAGTCCCCTAATGCACTATTTATGCTCTAGGGTTCTCCCCCAAGGGACTGTCAGCTTAGTTGAGGGAACAGGATTGTTGGAGCCACCAGAGCTTGTGTGGTTCTAGGGATGACTCCTCTGTCCCCGGGGCCCCTTTTCCAATTATCCTGCCTAGCAAGCACCTGCCTTCTTCCGAGACTGCCATTTCCCAGAGATGCGACCCAATGCGTCCAGCCGCTGAGCTCAGTGGCCAGGCCTAGGCCAGCCTGCCTCCTGGCCTTGCAGATGAGCCATCACTCCCAGCTATTTCTCGCTCATATTGCCTCCCTGGTGCAGGGTTGGGGTAGGCCTGGTGTCTTGATGAAAGCAATGAGGCCTTCTGGGGCTCAGTGAAAATCTCTGGATGAGATATAAGATGGGGCCATCTCTTCCTCAATCGGAGTTCATAATTTGCGTTCATGTCTGTTTGTTTATGTTTCCATGCATTAGATTCTTGGTGCATTTGCATTTGTGTATAACTGCCCTGGGGAGTGTGGAAAGACATGCGAGCATGGTATTTTCTGAGGTTTCTTATGTAGAGGGCCCCTCAGAGTGAGTTCGTTCTGGGGTTCATCCTCCCCGCCATGTCTGTGCTTGTTGAAGACATCGTTGCTTATGCTCTGCACACTGACCGTATTGTCTCTGCGCCTGGTTCCCGGAGTAGGCTGCTAGGCTGCTGGTTCTTTGAAAACTGTTTTGAGATTTATTCATCTCGGTCCCCTTATCTTCAAGCACAGGGTCTAGATAAGATTAAAAGCTCAGGAAATGTGCATTTAATTTACTGTACACACACATACAATGAACCACACTGAGAAAAATGCTCAAAATCACCACTCTGACATGGAATCCCTGCTGGAGGAGTGTCAGAACTGGGCATCAACAGAGCCAGGAATTCCAAATTCAACACTAGCATCCAGTTTCTAGAACTGGAAATGTAAAAAAAATATCACTTAAACAAGGGAATCATTAACACACTCAGAATCTCACATGAGCAAGAGTTGGGGTAGCAGCTGTGCTGAAAAATCACCCAAAGGTTATTGCTACTAATGTGAGAAAAGGAGAGAAAGAATTTTCCAGTCTTAGCATTTGAAAAGAGACTTCATGGGGCAATTATTCCAATCTTGTAAGGAGGGTGCTGTCAGGAATTATGGGTGATTATCTCTTCCTAAACAAAAATCCAATTAAAAAAAATCATTATAAATACTAGCTCTTCGATCTACAAAGAGGAGATGAGGAAACAAAATCATCCTATTGAATTATTCATTGTAACCAATTTTATTTTAATGAAATCGACTAGGTTCCATTACTCTGGGCTTGGACATAATCTTTTGTTACAAGGAGACTTAAGCTGTAACTAAATTTGCCATAATGAGATCAGCTCACTGGAGAATATGGGGTCAGGGGAGGGAATGTGTGTGCAGCCTGTGTGCAAGGGCCAGCCAGGGTGGCTAGGAGGGGGACAGAACAAAAGTGTCTGGATTCCCCATCTGTAGGCACATGCATGCCTGGAAGTCATCCCCACACAGCCCCTGTCACGCACATGCGCACACTCATACACACACATTCCTATCTGCACCATGAAAACACACACACACACACACACACAGTCTGCATAATTCTGAGTAAAGACTCTCATTGGAATGGAAGCATCGTTCATTTCTGACAGCAGAGAAGAGAGGAGGAAGGGTAGCTGTGGCCTTCGTTACCTTGTGAAGTGATTAGAGGAAGCTGGTAGTTAATTTTCACCCTGTCAGGGCCTCCAGTGAAGAGGTTGAAGCCTTGAGAGGAGCTGGGAGGTACTTCAATATACCACATCCCCCCTCTTTCCTCCAGTGCAATTATTCCTGCCTCGTCCACCTTCCCCCCCATCTCACACACACACACAGGTACACACATTCACACACATACCACACACACGCACACACCCCTTACACGAGCAGGCTGTGTAGGCACATGGTCCAGTGAGTCCCAACGCTGATAGAGGCCGGTGGGAGAGGGAACTAAAAGTCATGAAAATCCACTGGCTGCTCTACTTGTTCTGCTGCTCACACATGCCCTGCAGCCACACCCAGCTACTAGGGGAGATGGGGTTCCTGGGAATTGGGCAGAAAGAACTGCAGAGGAACAGCTCTCAGAGTGGGGGTGCAGTGCACACCCCACGAGCCACTGACTCTTCTCTAGTAGACTCACAGCCCACTTTTGAGCTCAGGCCCCCTGTGCTGGTGGCCTTGGCCATGTTCCCTGGTGCACACTGGGACATCCACTCACATGGGGGTGGTGAAGTGACCACAGTTGTCCTCATTTCTTCTACAGACCAGTTTTGAGCTTTCTTGATGCTGTGAAAATGATCACCGCAGGTGTTTATTGGAGTTGTGCTCCCAGCTCTGTGCTAGAAGGAAACCAAGAAAAAAAGGCCCTGCCCCTGACCTTGTCCAAGTACAAGTCTTAGGTGTGGGATTTCCATCCAGAGGCACAGCCAGGTCTAAACAGGTTGGCAGTTTCTCAAGGCACCTACTGTAAAGCAGTGGCACCGTTGTACACATGACTCTAGAAAATGGACTCAAACTTCAGTCCTGAATGTGTGTAAGTCTTCTACTTCTAATTGTTTCCAGTCTTTCTGGTCCATTCTCCTGAAACAAGATTCCCAAATTTGGTTAGGGCTAAGCTACTCCACCCTGAACATCAAGCCGTATATCCAAATGTTATCAGGAGTATCAAAACTTCCTGGTTGTACAAATTGGACTGAACATCCTATAATAAGAGACATTCTTGGGATATTTTGGCCATGTACCTTCTTGGCCCAGCTGGAATTCAAGAAGTGCCTGAAACAGAACAAAAATGGAAATGAACCGAAAGAATCAAGTTATCTCCCTTCTGGGAATCTCAGAAATGATTTGGTTGAAGTGCTTGCAAAGATCCCGTCTTGTTCTTATTTTGTCTCCCTGTTTTGCATTTCTCTAGTGCTTTACACCAAAGGCTGCCAAAATAAGAAGTAGATACTCCCACCCCCAGTGTTTCTACCAAAGCCCATTTCCTCCCGTCCAAACAGGCACCTCCCTCCGTCTGCAGTGGCCGAGGGAAGAAGTGGAAGCACTGCCTAGAAAGTGTGGTGCTCTCCCAGGAATTACAGATCTTCAGTCAACCGGCCAATTTATTTGGTTAGTCCTTTGAGGGTAAGACTTAGATGAAGCATTTCCAGGGCAGTTGTTTCAGAGCCAAAGTAAAGAAAGCCTTTCTAAGAATGAGAACCATCCATGGTGGGATGAAGGGCCTCATGAAGGAAGATGCTCCCCATCATGGAGCAACATCAGCTCATGCTGGTGGAGTCATCTAGGCTGAGCCCATGACTCAACCATGGCATCAAAATGTAGGAGAAGACCTGGACATCTCTCCTTCTATGGAAATCAGTTCTCTGACTGTGTGCAGTCCTGTATTGCCTAACAATAGGAATATATTCTAAGAAATGGCATTTAGGTTATTTCATCATTGTGCAAATGTGCCAAGGTGTCCTAACCCAACCCTATATGGCATGACCTACTACACACCTAGGTTATGTAGAGGGACCACCACCATCATCATATCTGGGGTCCTTGTTGACCCAAATATTCACATGGGGCACATAACTGTATTCCATCAACCCAGAGGAGGGGGCTCCACACTTCTCTTTGAGTTGCTGTTGTCTGTTCATTGTTATGTCCATGGTATTTTGTGGCTCTATTAAAATACAAATCATAATTTGTATTGTGTTACAGCTGCTACAGTGAAGCAAACAGTGATATAGTAGGTATCAATTTGTTTCTTCGTTTGAAATGTATTTGAGGTATTCCTACACTGAGGAATGTGAGTAGGTAGAGACCGGGTATTGTGGGGTGACATAGAAATGGTGCAGATGCAGCATTGTCCTCTTAGCTTCTAGTCTCACTTGGGAACCATGAGCACATTCCCTCTGGCCATTCTTCTGGTTTTTCTAACTTAAAGACAAAACTGGGTAGTGCAGATGATAATTCCCTTTGTTAAGATCACCTTAACATGGGAAGCTCCCCTCTACACCCTCGCCCCAGGGCTAGCCACATTCACCCACTGGACAGAAGCTCTGTGGACATTTGGTTGAGTTAAGGCAGTTGCATTAGCGAATGTTTCCTGCTTACTCAGGACTGACTGTCCCAGGCATTTTGAGAAACTCCCAAGAAGTGCTGGTTCTTTTGCTGCCCTCCGTTTGTTCACCATTTCACTAAGGGCTGTGTCCAACCGGAAAAAGTAGCCAGAGGCCCTAGAGTATGAAATTCAGAGGGAGTTTCCCTGAGGATGAAACCACGCAGCCTATCAGCTTACTCAGTCCACAGGCATGAGTGCCAGAGTGCAAGGATGGAAACATCTTTTGCCCACTTCCAGAAGGCCCTGGGATGATTATAAAAATAACATTTACCAAGATCCTGGCACCCTACTGGTACTGCTACCCTACTAGGAATCTGCATTGATTGGGACAGTAAAACTCAGATCTTTGAGTGATTG